CTCTGTTAAGTCCATCTGCTTAGCCTGAGATAGGGAGGCGATAAATAAACTAGCCAATAGCTAGGCGACCGAGGCAAGAGCTGAGCAGTGACTGTGCCTTGCTGTGAAGAGAAGAGAGGGCTTGTGAAGTGAATAGGAGTGGCGTCTATTTGTGGTGTGGGGAGGGGTGGGGAGAGAGAGAATAGATAAATGATTGATAGATAGATAGATAGATAGATAAGAGACAGAGGGAAAAGAGAAGAGAAGAGAAGAGGAGAGGAGAGAAGGGGAGGGGAGGGGAGGGGAGGAGAAGAGAGGGGAGGAGAGGGGAGGGGAGGGGAGGGGAGGAGAGGAGAAGAGAGAAGAGAGAAGAGAAGAGAAGAGAAGAGAAGAGAAGAGAAGAGAAGAGAAGAGAAGAGAAGAGAAGAGAAGAGAAAAGAAGAGAAGGAAGCTGGCTCACATCTCCAGGGCGCCCATCTCCTCCTCTCCTGGAACCTCAGCATCACAGCATTGCAGGGACCCAGGATGTGGACCAGGCCAGCCCCACACTGTCCTAGACCCCTTTCCCCAGCAGGGGGCCCTTCCATACAGGCGAAGCTCTTCCTCCTGGAACTTCGTTGAATGCTGGCCTCCTACCTACTCCCCCGACCCCTCCTCACTCACCATGGTCCTGAGCAAGTCCTCCTTGCTATCCCTCCCCAAGCTCATCAGAGATTTGAAAACAGTATTCTATGCCAAGCCCCTCCCCCACCTCCAACACACACACACCTACCTTAATTCCTAGCTCAGTTGCCCCCAGGTCTGTCTCACACAGCTTGGCATCCTTTCTTAGCCCCGGGAAACCCTCCTAAGCCAGGCCAATGGGCACAAGGCCTGGGGCCTCTAGACCCTGCAACTTCAATTAAGACTGGTAGCATCCTTCTTCCCCTTTTAAAGAAGAGAAACCTGAGACCCAGACCGTTGCCCCGAGAGCTGCAGTGACGTGGCTGCAGGGCAGAGAATTCTGCTGCCCAGCACAAGCGCAGAACGAGACTCATCCACAAAGGGCCAGGCCTGTCCTAGGACCAGTTCCTACGACCTTCAAGCTGCCTCCCACTTGTCTTTACTGGTCAGCAAACAGTTCCCACGAGGCCACCCCAATACTGTCTGAAAACCTTCAGTGACTCTCCGTTCCTTATGAGATTAGACACTTACACTAAGTTCGGAAATTAGAGCAAGCTGGTCTTGCCCACATTCTAAGTCGGCCCCTTTCCACCTTCTCCTCCGCTGCTGCCCACCAGGCCCTGCACTTCAGCTCCTCGCTCTCTAGAGGGGTCCTGTGTTCCCGGCTTCTGAGCTGCGTGCCTCCACTAGGATGCCTCCCCCTTCCACCTCTGGACTAAGAACCCTTCTTGGATTTCTCCTCTTGGGTATGTTCTCTGATCCTTGGAGCCCTCACTGCGGCCCTTGGGTTGGTACTTGTTGGCTCCTCCTCCTCCTCGGTGCGGACAGCAACATCTCAATGAACACTTGCTCTCCTGCTGGTCAGTGTGATCGGACTTGGGAACGATTTTCGTACAAAGAGATGGTTCCATTTCATCTCTTCCCAGGTAGCTCCTTTGCTCTGCACCCACCTCTTTGTTCTTCGGCTCATTCTCCTTGCTGAAGATGACCACCTGGGAAGCCAGTTCCTTCAACTCCTTCTTCCAGGCCTCTGCGGGGAGGGGACAAGATCCTGGCAACTGCTGTCTGGGCCCCTCCTCCTCACCCTCCCTGTGGCACCAGGTGTTGGGGATGCTGTGAGTGGAAGAGCCTCCTGTCCTCCCAGCCTTCCATCTGCATCTTAAAGGGGAGGGGAGACGGTGCCCTCCGGGAAGGATTAGGCGTCACACCATTGGTGGGTGGGAGGGTGGGTATGGAGGGGGCCCTTAATGTCCTAGCCTATGATTTTATGGGAGACATTGGACCGTATTTGGTTATTTGTGCCAAAATGCAAGTGGTTTAATCTAGCTTTGCCTCTTTTAGGAAACTGAAGCCAAGATTGAGATGCAGTTGCTATGCAGTGCCAGTTACTAAAATATGGAACTGCTCCTGTAGAGGGCGGTACAGAGCACCAAGCAATCCTTCCAAACCTCTGCCCTGCAGGCTGTCCCAACCCCTGGCCTGCACCCCTAACAGAAAGGGCACAGCCCGCGGAGCAGAGGCCTCAGAGCGCGCTGTGGTGCTGTGTGTGGCTGCCTGTTCTGATGGCTGGTGCCTCAGTACAAGTACTAATAATTTCCAGTATCATTCCTCTACGGCCTGAAGTCCCACGATGTGCCCAAATCTGCTTGTCCTCCCCTGTGGTTACTCCTCAAACACCTCAAACCCAAGCAGGGGCACATTGCTGAGATTTCGGGGTTGGCGAATAATGCAGATGCCAAAGCTGGAGGAAATGAGGGGGAAAACGGGGTACCTGACCAGATCCCACTTCCTTCTCAGGCACCCACCCAAGCGGGGCAGCCCTTGGGGAGAGGTGTAGCCCCAAGGTAGAGGTCTGTGGCCCCAGCACCCACCTGGCTTAAGCCGGGGATCCCGATTGGACTGTGGGTCTCCAACAGGGATAAAGAGGGCAGGCATCCCCATCAGAGAGGGGGAGAGGAGTGCAGTTCGAGGCAAGGCGGTCAGAGAGAACCTGTCCTTGACGACACAGACGGGCTTCCCGGTGAGATCTGTGAAGGGACAGAGGCCGTGGGAAGGGGTGGCTGCGTGGACCCCAATAGCTCCAGGAGGCTGGGTAGGTAGAGCACTTCCAGTAACCAGAGCCCGTAGATCGTTAGAGCGTGGAGAGCCTCTGCAGCCACCTAGACATTACCCCCGGGGCACTTAGAATGGACACGAAGGGATGGGCTCAGGGTCACGCAGCAAGTCGGGCTTCCTGCGACCCTCGTCCTGAGGTCCTGTGGGCTTTCGATGACAGCAATGACTGCAGGTGTGAGCAGAGAGAGGCAAGCAGCCTCAAAAGGGACCCCTGGGTGTGGAGAGGGACCTGGGCTCAAACCACAGGGAGTGAGATTTAGCTAAACTCCCTGGATGAAACGTCTCTCCATCTGTCAGCCTGTGCAGGGCCGAGTGCCGGGTAGCCTGGAGGCGGTGGCAGGCGGTTTACACATGAGGACCCTTTGGCCTAAGGTCTGTGTGATATTGTTACTACTGGACAGTTACGCTCTGAGGACCAGCCTGAATGGGGCAGAATGGTTGCTCACTGTCTCCTTCCCCAAACACTTTCCTTTTGGACCCCTCACTGTCCTGGCTCGTCCTGGCTCACCAGCCACTCCTCATTCCCTCTGCTGCGTACTCCTCCTCACAGCCTCTGAGCCTTGGGGTCCCTGGGACTCCGTCCCCAGGTTCTCGTCTCTTGTATCTACACAGTCTCCTGGATGAGCCCATCAAGGCCCACTTCAAACACCATCCGTACCTGAATCGCTCTCCTGTTTGTGTTTCTCCCCTGAACTCCAGACCCAATTGCCCGCCCCGTGCCTCCACCTGGATGTCTAAAAGGATCTCACATTTTGCATCTCTCAGTCCTAGACCAAACTCTTGACTCGTCTCCTCTCCTCCCCTGGTCCCCTCTGAAGTCTTTTTGTCCCAGTTTTCCAGTTCCTCAAGCCAAAAGCCCAGGAGTCAACATTGATCCCCCTCTTCCTCTCACACTATTTCTAATCCATCAGCAAATCCTGTTGGCTTTACCTTCTGCATATCTCTGGAGCCGGACCACTAACTCTCCCACCTCTACCTCCCTGGTCCAAGCCACCATCCCCACAGAGGCCAGTAGATCACGCCTGACACATGTTTGCTCTCAGCTTCTCAGTGGTTCTCAGCCGACTCGGTGAGATGGCTTCGTGACGACTGCAGTGACCGGGGCCCTCACTGCCTCTCTGCTGCATCTCCCTTCTCTCCATTACTCGGCTCCAGCCACATGGGCCTCCTTGCTGCTGGGCCTTTGTACTTGCTGTGCCCTTGGTCCTCCCTCCATCCCCCCACATCCACATGATTGATTCATGCTCTCTCTTCTTTTAGTTCTTTACTCAAAAGTCATGTTTCTCGGTCGTGTCTTCCCTCTGTAGCCTTGGCACTTCCCATGCTCTGACACCTCATCTATTTCCTATTCTTCCCCACCAGAGAGTCAGCTCCCTGTCTTGGTCATTGTCATATTCCCAGGGTCCAAAAAAGTGCCTGACTCGGGCACAGTTCACACTCAGTAGATACTTGAGGATGAAATGGCCTGTGTTTGTGAACCAAGTGCAGCTCAGAGGCAAAACATTCATCCCTTTCTCTGATTTGTGAGGGGGAGGACCCGCAGCAAGGGAAACCCTGTAGGGACATGTAGTCTGCCCCTGGAGCCTGCCCCCAAGGCAACTCTTGGCTTGGTCAAGTGCTTGCAAGTGGCCAAGCCACTCTGTGACCCTGGCTGAATCCCCTTCCTCTCTGGGCCTCACCCTAGAAATAGAGACTGGGTCCTCCCTTTCCAGGTTTTAAGAGCACCCCTCCTCCACTGCCCACCAGGCCCTGGCCTACCCCAGCCCTACCTTTGATGTGGGTCACACGATGGGGGTGGGGGTGATGCCGGGAGAAGAAGGAGGAGTGGCTGAGGCGGCCGAAGTGGTAGGCGTTAGGGGTTTCGGGCTTGGCGGTCCTCAGTTCCTCTCGGACCACCTTGAAATCCACGACACCTGGGACCACAGGTTCTTTCTGGGGCCCTTCGACCCCGTAGCTTCTTGGCTTGTGCTCTGACTTCTCAGCCTTTGGCTCAGCCTTTGGACTGAAGAAGAAGGTCAAGGAGAAGCTAATGAGGCTTCCTGGCAGCAGTGTCTGCCCCAGCTTGGGGCTTTTCAGAGTCCATTCCTGAGATACTCTGAAATGTGGTTTCCAGGGTTTCTCTGCCACCCGCCGGCCTCCAAGTTGGGCCTCCCACAGGGTCTCCTCCCAATTGGGACAATCCAGTCCCAGGGAGGCTTCTGTCTTCCTCAGGTGCCTTAGTAGGAAGCTGGAATCCATCTGAGAAAACACAGGTAGAATTCCCCGGGACCCCAGCTTTCTTTCACAGACCATCTCTACAGCCAGAAAGAGAAGCTATAGACCCACCAGGCATCCAAATGCCTGGATTGGAGCAAAGACACATTATATACACCTCCGAGCCAGAGGGCTGGCCCCAGCAAGGGCCTCTCCCCAAGCCAAACTGTTGGCTGCCCAAGAGAAGCCAGCTACAGGCTGTCACCCTCCCCCATGCCATCAGGGGCAGTTTTGGCCCAGACACAGCATGCGGGCCAAAGCTGTCCCCAAGGCCAGATTACACCAGCAAGTCCTTGCCCCCCGGGGCCCTCCCAGGAGACGCCCAGCTGATGCGGCGGCTCTCAGAGCTGCGACGCTGCAGGGAAGCTTCAAGCTCTTGCTTCACTTCACTGGAGACAAGCCGTCTCAGGTTCTCTGTCCTCCACCCTGCACCCCTTCCCTCTCAAGGATGCTGTGCTTTTTCCCCTGGTGGATGAGGTCGAAGTCGGTCCAGCAAGGATCCAACGGTGGGCTGGTCCTTGGTGCCTGGCTTTCCCTTCTCCCGGTGACCCTGGCTGGAGGGAGTCCCTCTCTGGTACAGATGGACTCTGGATATGCTAAGCAAGCTGTTCTGGACCCTCTGAGGAATTTGCTGACCAGGCCCCTGAGTTTCCCGTTCCATTCTCCGGCCGCCTCTAAGAGATCTGGGACTTAAAGAAATAAAGCAAACCTTCTCTGAAAGTCATAGTTAGCTGGCCTCCCCAAACCCCAACTAACAGAAAGTCACCACCTGAAAACCCCTGGAATTTCTGTGCTCAGTGCCCCTGGCCCCTGCCATCACATCCTCTCCCCATCCAGAGAGGGTTCCCGCCTGCGACCTGTGGTACCTCAGGCCTGAGAAGCCAATCAGGGCCTAGTTGATGGCAGTGGGAGGTGAGGAAGGACTGCCTTTCTTGGACTCCCAGTCTGCTGAGTTCCCCTGAGGCCCCCTTTGTCCCTACCACCTCCTCGGTCAGCAGGGTAGGCATTTGGGGCCTCACCTCGCCCGGGGTAGTTCAGCTGGTTGGGTCTTCACCTCCGCAGCCATTGTACGGTTTCTAACAGAACAAAGATCCATGTTGAATATGTATCAGAACATCTTATAGACTGGCAGTGGGAAATCAACTGGAACAGACACTTGGGGAGAAAAGCATTGGCAATATCTTGCGAAATTGAATGTTTGCATGCTATATCATCCAGCAATTCCTCTTCCAGGTATATAACCAACAGCAACCCTTGCAGATGTACAACTGGGGCTATCTGTAAGTATAGTCAAACTAACATGGTTCAGATTAGTAAAAACTGGGGACAATCCAAGTGTCCAGTGGCAGAAGAGTGCATCAGCAAGCTGTGGTACATTCTGACAATGAGCATTACATTGTAATTGAAATGGATGAACCACTGCTACATCGATGAGTCTTGCAACTATAACGCTAAGATGAGGAAAGCAAGTGGCAAAAGGCCATATGGCCTGAGATCCTTATAAAAAATAAAATTCAAAAGCAAGTAAAAGTATATAAATATGTGATGAAACAAGAAAAGACAAGCAAGGAAATGGTAAACACAAAATTCAGCTAGTGGCTCTTTCTGAGAGCGGGTGGGGAGGGGAGAGTTGGGAGAAGAGCACATAAGATGTGTTAGTGGTGATATTCTCGTTCTTGGTTTGGGAGATGCACTTACGAGTGTCCATTATATTATTAAATAAACTAACTGACGTGGATGAAAGATGATAGGTGTCAAAGCCAAGAATGGTAATTGATCTAAATCTACGGACCCAAATGTATACACATATTCATATACCCAAAATGTTGGGGGGTTCAGGTGTCAGGATTGGAGTTAGAAAAGGAAACAGTGCATTTTGAGAATTAACCCCCATAATTACAGAATCTGCAAGGGACCCCAGAGACCCCTCCAGGGCCAGCCTTTCATCAAGTTCAGATGGAGGAGAATTGCCTGAGATCAGGGAAGGGGAGAGACTTTGAGGTCAGACGGCAAGAAACCAGGCAACCTGACTCAAAGACTCCTGATCTTTTCTCTAAAAAGAAAAACAGAAAAACAAACAGCCAGGCCAGTGTGATTCTGGTTGAGCATTGACCTGTGAACCGGGAGGTCACAGTTTGACTCCTGGTCAGGGCACATGCCCAGGTTGCAGGCTGAGTCCCCAGTAGGGGGCGTGCAGGAGGCAGCCTATCAATGAATCTCATCATTGGTGTTTCTATCCCTCTCTCCCTTTCCCTTCCTCTCTCTGAAATCAACAAAACTATTAAAAAAAAAAAACAACAACACACCCCACAGAAACAAAACAAAACAAAAAACATACGAAACACAGAATAACCCAGAACAACAATAGAAAAAGGAAGACAGTTGGCAGAGCTTCCTTTGAAGGAAGCTTTGAACATTTGGACATGGGGGTGGGGGGGGGGGGGCGGGCATGGGGGCTGCACTCCAGAGCACTTAGAGGCTGCAGGCTGGAGAACAGGGCATTTGGAAGCCCCCAAAGCACCTGCCAACAGGCAAAGGTAGTCGTTAAAACAGAAACGTTCAAATGCTCCTGACTGTGACCATGGCAAGAAAACTTAATTTTTGCATCATGACTCCATTCACATACATGTGCACATGCTTGTGTGTATGTGAAACTGAAGCAATCCTTACCCTGCTACATAGGATGCTCACTGATAGTTTCATCCTACTTGTTTGCTTCTTGTAAGTGTTAGGCGTGATCCATTAAACTGATTTTATAAGACCCTAAAGGGTCACCCCCCCAGCTGCTGTAGAGAAGTCCCACCTGTCTTTTCCCCCCACATCCCTCTCCGCTGGGCCCCCAGCCAGCCAGGCACAAGGAGTCTGAACGCTCACTTCAATCCTAGGACAGAACTTCCTTTACCCATCTCGGCCCCTCTGGGCCCTCCCCTGGGCCCCAGACCGGCTCATGTCCATTTCCTCCCCTGGAAAGATCCCTGGACTCACCAAGGCAAATGCTCACTATAGCATGAGGGAGAGAGCCCCTGTGCCCCAGCAGGAAGGAGCAAGAGGACAAAGGGAAGGCTTGGGATTCTGTGGACAAGACTGCCTGCTTTGTGACTGCATAAGCCAGTGGTTGCTAGGTTACCCCTTCCCCACAACTCCAGAACCACTCCCCAGGACCCCCCTCCTCACCCCCACCCACCTAGCTCCTCCTACCCACTGAAGACCCACTCTCCCTCCACGCTCCCTCTCCACCTCCCATTCAGTGCCTTCAATGGGGACCAACGGAGAGAATGAGAGGCAGGGGCCGGTTTCAGCCAGCGACCAGCAGGCAGAGAGGGAAAAACTGGCAAAGAGAGTCGGTCAGGCTGGGTCCCAGCTTTGTCAGTCTGACCGGCCCGATGCCACCGTGGAGGGCTCTGCCTCTCTGCATCCCGTTTCTGGGATTGATGAGCAGAAAGCTGTCCCTTCGATGGAGAGACTTGACCCAGAGTATCCCTCTAACCCAGCGGTTCTCAACCTGTGGGTCGCGACCCCTTTGGCAGTTGAATGACCCTTTCACAGGGGTCGCCTAAGACCATCCTGCATATCAGATATTTACATTATGACTCATAACAGTAGCAACATTACAGTTATGAAGTAGCAACGAAAATAATGTTATGGTTGGGTCACAACATGAGGAACTGTATTTAAAGGGCCAGAAGTTGAGAACCACTGCGTCTAACCCCTCTGAGGTGGAATCACTGCGTGAAAGATCCTGGGTTTTCAGTGGGACAGGGTTTCGAATAAATTCTGACACTCTCTAGATGTGTCACTTGGGTAAGTGGCCTGTACTCCCAGACGCGGATCGGTGGTAAGAATGCTTGGTTCAAATCCCAGTTCTGTTCTTTCCTTGGTTCAAATCCAGGTTCTGTGGCCTCAGACAATGGACTTGATGTCTCTGAGCCTCAATTTCTGTATCTCTGAAATGCAAGCGATACTTCTGCTTATTCTCACAGGATTGTTGGGAAGATTGAGTGAATGATTGTACATTAGAGTGTTTAGAACAGTGCCTGGCACCACGTCGGCTCTCTTATTGTTATTACCTTCTCTGGGCCTTTAACATGGGGTACTCTCCCCTAGTTCTGGGGTCCTCCTGAAGGACAAATGAGCTAATGGAAGTGATGTACCTATATAACTATATGCTTGGCACATAAGAGATGCTAAAAAATGGTAATTCATGGTATCTTTATTGTTGGTATCTTGAGGGAGGCAGAACTGACTATAAGGTGGGATAGGTGTGTAGCCTGAGGCTGCTTTGGGGAAGTAAGCAGTTCTCTGAGCTCAGCGTGGACAGCTGTAAACTGGGGGTAAGGACAGTGCTCAGTCCACAGGGCTGTGGTGAGATGAGGCTGCGAGGGTGCAAGCAGGTTCATAAATCACAGAAAGGTTTGCACAAAGTGCTTGATGCTGTCCTAGCAGTGAAGCCTCTGGCCCTTAAAACTGATGGGGATGGGCCTACTCCAGGGTCTTTATCCTCACTTCCCCTGGCCTCATATTAGCGGCTGGGATGCTTCTAGACCCGCTGTCTTCCTCCTTCCAATGGCTGCTGGTTGCTGGGGAGGAACAAAAGGAAGAAGGACAGCCAGAGGCAAACCCAAGTCCTTCTGCTGAGAGGTGGGGATTCATACCACATCAGGGGGTGGCCTCTGATCTTGGCCTTGCCCTAAAGGCTTCTCCATCCACACAGGTCAGAAGGTTCCCCATTTGAGCTCTGGCTTTACCTGGGCTGTCTCAGCAGGAAGGAGGTGAGCCTTTGAACCCACCCTGAAAGCCCCTCTTCCATGCTCTGGGCCTCCTGCTGACTGTTATGATAAATGACAACATGTCTGAAAGCAGAGAGGGCTTTCTTCCCTCCTGGCCAGCCCCTCCCTGTGGCTTTGCACTCACTTGGGGAGCCCCCACGTCGAGCTGACACAGCTGAGAGTAAAAGCCACTGTCACCCTCCCCGTTGCACCTCCTAACCCTTCGATGGTATTATTTAGAACTGGACCCCGATCTGCAAGCGATGGCAGCTGGAAGGACAAAGGGGATACTTTAGGGACTGCCCTCAACACTGGTTTGTGAGGATCGTTGAGGAAAACCTTCTGACATCTTTCTTCGTGGAGTGTCAAAAACAGGAGAGAGAGTCTGTCTGCCTGGAAATGGTTTGCAGTACAGTCCTCCTGCCTGCTGCCTCGGTTATAAGAGGAGCAACATAAAATTTTATGGAGCCCTGCTCGCCAGGCACTGTGCTCTATTATCTCATTTAACCCTACACATGAGGGAACTGACGATCAGAGAAATCCTTAGTGATATGTGTTGCAAATATACTAGTATTCTCCCCTCTGGGGCTTGCTCTTCTGTCTCCAAATGTAGTCTTTTGATGGAGATGATGTTGGGAGCGGTGAGAACAGCACCAAATGTTAGACAGGTGGGGTCAGACTGGCCCTTGGTTCAGCAACCTTGGTACTTGAGTTCTGGTTAAGAAAGAATTCAGAGCCAAGACTCAAACTATAAAGTTTATTTAGAAAGTCACACAGGTAAAAAGAAGTGAGTGGTAGAAGAAATGGGCTTAGGAGAAAGAGAGAGGCCAAGAAAATGCACCTGGGGGAAGAGGCTGGGGAAAGGTGCTGGTGTGCTCCCTAGAGAGAGCCACACTGGTCCTCAGTCATGTGGGAATTTATCTGGAGGCCTCAGGGGGGAATCCATTAGAATATTCATCAGCTTTCCAGGTATGTCCTTCTAGGGTTGTGGTCTCTACTGATTGGTCAGTACCAGGGCAGGGGGTCATTAGTCAATGCAGCTGGTCCTGAAGCCAGCCATGGTTGCTGGTCTGGTTTTGCTGCTTTTCTGAGCCTGGAGCTGAAACACAACGGAGGCCTTGATGTATAGGATGCTGGTCAGAATGTCATTGTCCTGGGGCGTAATGCTTAAGGGCTATTCTCTCATCCTCTTGTTCGTCCCTGGTAAGGGCGTCTAACCCACATGACTAGCAACAAGCCAGGAAGGAAATCAGTCAGGGAAGGGTCCCAACAGCATGACCAGCCATATGAAAGGTCAGGA